AAGAGGTCTGATTTAGCCCAGTTAACTTGTATGCTGTTTAGTTCATAAAAACTATTTGCTATATTGATAATATTTGTTAGGTCGTCCTTTGATCAGGCAATCCACAGCGTGTCGTCCATATATGTCAAGACTGATGTTTTACATTGGAGGTTGTTATAAGATTCTGTTTATACATCTGGTTTCCACCTGACTGACATGTTATATCCTAGGTTTGAGAATTGTACCTTGCATAGGAGTAGATCGTAGTATATGCACCATAGGAGAGGGAGATAATTTCTCCTTGATCGATGCCTGAGAATACTTTATATGTATCTGTATTACCGAAGGCTGTGAAGACTTGATTCTCTTGAGGGACAAACATATTGAGAATAAAAAATATAAATTCTTTAGGTAATTTGAGTCTTTCCAAGGCTCTGACTAACATGAAGACGTTAACTCGATCATATGCTTTGGACATATCTTGCAATAGGATCCACAGTTCCTTTTTGTTTGCAAGCGCATCATGTTTGATATTATCGAAGATATGTAATGGTTCGAAAGTCGACCGAAATGGTAAACCTGCAAAGTTGTATTCTTTTAATATGCTATATTGAACGAATATTGTTGAGAGACGTCTGTTGATTAGTTTGATAAGAGCTTTCCTTGGACATTCTAGGAGTGTGATAGGTCGAGTGTTATTTAGGTCATATTCCCATGGTTTAGGTTTGGGGATCGGATATATGTATGCTAAATTCCACCTGTTTGGAAGCGAGAAAATTTTTAAACAGCCACAGATTATGTACCAAAGGAGTTTTTTGGCAAGTGGACTAAGGTGTTTTAACATTTCATTGTGGATCTTTGAGGGACCTGGTGTTTTACCATCGGCTAATTACTTTATAACATTATACCATTCGTCTGCCGTGGGGGTGATATTAAGGACCTTATATATATTAAGGTCAATACTGGTGATTGGATTATAGACTGAACTCTATTTCTCTGGTATTTCTTTATTTTCGTGGGTGGTGCCTGCTGCCTTCTGAAAGTGTTCATTTACATTGAGTTTAACTTCACTTTCATCCGTTAGCAAATCATTGGAATTTCTTGATAAGCAGCAGTCAAGTATTATAGTTCTTCTCGATCGATTTAATGTAGAGTCTAACATTTTACTGGGTTGTACAGTGTAATTTTTAAGTCGTTTATTGAGTGCTTGTTTAATTGACTGAAGTTTGTGTTCTTTCTTGTGTAATTTAGCTTTACAATGGACCATGTTAATTAGTAAATTAGTGTCAGAGAGCAAAAGTTCAATGAAATTGAATGGATATTCTGGAGTGGGGTGAGCGGTGACAAAATTCAGTGAATTTGCATTATTGATGTAAGTATCATATGCACAGGGCCAAGAGACCGGAAAGGATGCCCCATTCTTGATTGAGCGCAGCAACTTATTAAATTTGTGGAGTTCTTTTTGTTGTATGTAAAGTTTGGACAACCTAGGAGGTCTTGGATATTTAAATTGTCCTGTTGATTTTCGGATAGGAATAGTTGATTCAGCCGCTTTAATCAGTAACTCTTGGAACTGATTCCAATATTTGTTGAGCAGAGATTGCATCCAAAAGGTGTTAATGTTCACGGTTTTTAGTGGGCAGCCATTCACTAGTGCGTCCAGTTTGTTTTCGAATTTGTTTCATTTTTGATCATCCATTTTGTTGAAGTTAAAACTAAGTTTCGCTTTTATTTTTCATTTGTTGAATTTGATATCTAAAAAGTTAACACACTTTGTTACGACTGGTAGATGATCAGATATATCAGTGTCTATCAGAATGGTATAGCAATCCAGTATATTGACCGAAAGTTCTGTTGATGTCCATATATAATCAATTCTCGAGGTATTTTGACTATTGGTATACGAAGGAAAGCGGGTTCTTGCACAGTCATATTTGAGGGTGAAGGCATCGAACATAGACATTCTAAGCAACGTATCGAAGTATTTGAGTGCATTTGTCAGGTTATGTTGGCGGTCCATGACAGCATTGAAATCTCCTTCTTTGATCCATTTTGTAAGTATTTGTTGGACTTCTTGTCTGGTTTTCAAGTCTGCGGGTGGTAGATAACAGTTA